CTCCCAAGTAGCTGGGACTACAGGCGCCCGCCACAATGCCTGGCCATTTTTTGGTTGCAGCCATCATTGTTGTTTGGCGGCCGGGCTGGGGATTCGAACCCGCCACCTTAGGTGTATGTGGCTGGCACCTTAGCTGCTTGAGCCACAGGCGCCGAGCCGGAAATTGGTTTTCCAAAAATGATGAATAAATAAGTGAAGTGAGAAATTTCTTGTGTAAGGATTGTCAACCTGAACCCTTTATCAATTATACACAGTACAGCATTAATTAACTGAAAAATTATTGTTGACATTTGGTATTATGAGTTTTACATTTTCATTTTTTTCACTACTCAGAATGTTTATGCTTTCTTCACTAACATGTATTTTCAGTTTGTAACTTGAGAAAGTCTTCATGTGATTGAAATATGTATTACTCTTTGTTGTTGTTGTTGTTGTTGTTGTTGCAGTTTGGCCAGGGCTGGGTTTGAACTCACCACCCTTGGTATATGAGGCTGACACCCTATTCACTGAGCCACAGGCACCACCCGAAATATGTGTTACTCTTAATTGAATAACCCCAGAACCTCCAGAGTTGATACTTGGAGGAGATTGCTGTTCAGAAGAGTGGATGGATTATGGCAGCCCTATTTTTTTGAGAGTTCATTTTGTCCTTGTGATACAGGTCAGGTGGCTCCCCAGCCAGCTCCAGTGGAGCTGAGGGGAGGACCTGCCGCCTCTACCCTGGCCATGTTGATGTGGCAGCAGCTGGCAGAGGAACCAGTGGGGGTTGGAGGGCCAGGAGAGGCAGGAGGGTTCAGGTTGACAATCCTTACTCTGCTCCAGTAGCCAGAGAGGACAGACTGCTGGGGAGTCACCAGCATCTTAGTGTCTCCTTCTCTTGCACTTGGGGCTGGACTGGGAACATCCCCACCCCCCACCCCCATTTCTTACATCTAGGTCAATTTCATGTAAGTTTCCTAGGCCTGGCCAATTCTATGACTAGACTGTATTCATTAATGCGTTTATTCACCTTGTCCCAGCAGAAGGGACTGTATCCATTCATTAATGCACTCATTCATCTTGCCCCAGTGGAAAGGACTATATCCATTTGTTACCAAGTCTTGGCCTAATGTAACTAAAAAGGACCCACTCGACTATATACACCTTTAAACAAAGAATGGAGAGACAGAGAGCCCCCCACACACACTTGGGTTGTTTCTCTCTGCCAGGAGCTTTGGTATTTTTTGTATTCTTTTCTGTAAAATAAATCCTGTCTTACCACTGATCTGTGGTCCATGGATTCATTCTTTGAATCACCAAGACCAAGATGAAATTCTGGTATCACTTGGACCCTCACTATCATTTGGCCTCCAATTATGATGACTCTTTCCTTAATTGCTACACAGCTAAGGAGAAACTATAAATTTGGATACTTTATCAGTACAACTTAAACTAGAACATTATAAATGGTTTAGGGTAAAATGAGTAGGTAAAAGTATTTTTCTAATAGAAAAAAATCAATATCAAAGTAACATAAGGATAAACTTATTTACACAATAGAACTACTCAAAAACTCAAAATTTCCCATTTTTGTTTACTAGAGATGCCACCTCTCTGTGGCAGAGGCCATTTTTTAACTGGTCTCAATCATGAATACTTCTTAGATAATATCACTCTTTAAGTTCAGGTCTGAGCACAGAAGACAAATAATTCTCTTGATTGCCTACAAAGTTTTCTCAACTTTGGCTCTATTTGTAAAGTACAGATTGTGAGGTGGCAAGACCTGCACAACCCGGGTGCATTCAAGGAACAAACCCCAACTGCTTCTCCTCCCTTCCTAAAACAATAGTTCTTTCTCCTTGCTCTCTATGCCAGAAGTCACATAGTTTCTGTATATTTTTTCTATCTTTTGCTTAAAAGCACATAGTCTTTTCTCCCTAAAGTTAATCTTTAACCCACATTCTATTACTTCTCCTCAACCTTATAAAATAAAAATATTCCCACTTGTTTTCCTTGCTGATTTACAACATTGTTAGTATAAGCAACCTTTGTTTAGGTACTATATCAATAAAGCTGTTTACCCCATTGGGTTCTGGCTACAGTCATCAGCTGCACCGGACCTTCCATTCCCATCCTTATGTCCCAGATAAACCCACTGTAACTTGAAAATATTATAAGTAGCGTCAATGGTCATCTGTATTTTAGAATTCTAGAATCTATGGAAAACTTTAACTTCCAGGGGAAGACTTAGACAGTAAAATGTGGTCCATTTTGGTCAGTTTCAGCTCTTAGTCCATAAACTATTGCTGAAAAAGACTTGATGGTGAATCTTCTAAATAAAGATTTCAAAACAGTGACCTTAAAGATGCTCAGAGTATAAAAGGAAGACAAATTTAGGAAAATGATGTATCAGCAAAATTGAAATATCAAAGAGATGGGAACCCTAAAAGAAACCAGGAAAATGCTGGGCTGAGAAGTACAATAGCTGAAATGAAAAATTCACTAGAGGGATTCAAAGACACATTTTAACATTCAGAAGCAAACTTGAATACAGGACAATGGAAATTATTGAGCCTGAAGAACAGAAAGAAGAGACTAAAGAAAAATAAACAGAGCCTAATGGACCCATGGGACACTATCAAGCAGATCAACATCCTAGAAGGAGAAGAGAGAGAGAAAGGTAGTGAGAATATTTGAAGAAATAATGGCCAACATCTTCCCATATTTGATGAAAAACATGAATATAAACATCAAAGAAACTCGATGAATTCCAAATGGGATGGATTCAAACCCACAATGAAATACATTATAATAAAACTATCAAAAGACAAAATTTTGAAAGCAGCAGCGGAAATGACTCTTCACATGCAAGTGTTCCTCAAG